TGTAAAGCATCAAAGAAAATAAAGAAATTTACCTCAAAAATATCTCTTTTTCTCTCTTCTTTCTCTCTTCTTTTTCTCCTTCTTTTCTCATATCCGAAACCATGAGTAAGGCTTTTGACAATGTGGCATCATAGCCACTAGAGCCGGCCAAATCCTATGGCCACCTTGCATTCTCAATCTAAGGGGAAGGCGACGATGGTGGAGTCAAAGAAGATAGCAGCAGCCAAACCCACCGCGAAGGATGTGGATCAAAAGATCACCAATTTCAAGCACAATTTTTATTAAATGAGTCGACAATCTGAAAAGCAGCTAACACGATCATGGAGTGGCTCTATGGAATGTTGTCTGGTGAAAGGCGAAAGCAGCTGGTAGGGGGCCGGAGCATGCAAAGGGAGAGGCCTCCTGCCTTTCCCGTGCAAGCAGCAAGAAACCCTAAAGCCAAATTTAGGGTTTAAAAAATATATAGGGTCCAGTTCAAGTGAAAAGACTCGAACCAATTCACTCGAGAAATTAAATCAAACCAGTCCAGTGGAGGGATTGAACCAAATCGGCCCAACGGAAAGGTTGGTCTAAACCGGCCCATTGGATTACTGGGACCGAACCGATCTGCCTACCACACTGAACCAAACTAGTTCAGCCCAAAATATTTCCCTTCCTAAGGTGGAGATTCCCCTATGTGAAGGAATAAACCCCTACTTCTGCGTTAGGAGGTGCAAGAAGTATTTCTTGACATACAAAACACTGAACGAGCAGAAAGTTGACGTCGCATCTCTTTTTTGGGAGAGACTACAGATGTTTGGTACCGAGGTTGGTTAGCAAAAATTGACACAATAGATTGGGAATACTTTGAAGAGATTTGTCAAAGATTTGGGGGCCGTTGCGAAAAGACTTCATAGAAGAATTCAACAAATTGTCGGAAACAAGTAATGTTCCAGAAGATTAGGAACATTTCGAGCATTTGCGCGTTCTTTCAAATACAGACAACCCCATTCATTCGGAGAGATTCTATATATCTAGTTTTAGAAGTGGTCTCAAATTAGAGTTACAACTCATGATAAAACTGTTCAAGCCACGCATCCCCAATCAAACCTTCAAGCAAGTCTTGTTGCAGGAGCATTGTCTAATTAAAATGTCAAGAAGTTCCTATTTTCATGAAAGAACTACCCTTTCATCAAGTGGTTCCAAATGAGCAACGCCGAACGTACGGGAAGAGACACAGAAGTTAGGAGATCAACGGCGTCCTGCTAAAAATGTAGTGACTGTTACTTCCCAGTTCACTGCCACCAAAATAAAACTATGATGGTAATAGAAGAAGTATTCAACTAGAGAGAACTGTTAGAAAATGCACCAGAAGAGGAAACAGGGGATGAAGAAAATCCCACGGGGAGCTTATCCATTCAGGCAATAGAAGGAATTTCAGCAAGCAATATCTTAAAATTAGAGATACAATGTCTGGTTGTGATGCGTTGGTATTGCTAGACAATGAAAGTTCACACTCGTTTCTCGATGAAGGGATGGTTAAAGGAATTAGAACTCGTGTGGTCAGCAACAAACCACTAACAGTAATGGTTGCGAATGGACAAAAAATCACTAGTGGTTTTGCATGTCCGGATGTTACCTACATTATGTAGGATCACAAATTTAGGTATGATTATCGAGTTATTCAACTTGGTGTATATGACATGATTCTAGGGGTAGATTGGATGTAGTTCACTCCTGTGGTGCTCAATCCTCTACATGTCACCATCAAATTCCATTATGGCAACTCACTCATAATTCTGAAAGGAGGCAACACCCATGGACAGATGAAAGAGACCTACAACAACAGTATGAAGGTTGATCTAAAAGAAAGAACTACTTCTACCCATAGCGAAGGCCTTAAGTCCTTACTAGAATAATTGAAGGATGTGTTCAAGGAAACCAGGGGACTACTAACACCTAGGGAGTTTGATCATTCTATCTCCCTAATAAAGGAATGAGCAATGGTCAACATTCAGCTATATAGATACTCTTTCTTTTAGAAAAACGAAATAGAAAAACAAGTGTATAGCATATTACAGAAATCCATCATATGACCCAGCCGCAGCCGTTCTCATCTCAAATCCTGCTAGTCAAAAAGAAGGGTGGAATAGGGAGATTCTGTGTGGCTTATAGGGAACTTAACTGACAATCAAAGATAAGTTTCCTATTCTCATCATCGATGACTTGATAAATTACATGGTGTCTATCTTTTCAAAACTTGATCTGAGAGCAAGATATCACCTTATTCGTGTAAAAGAGAAAGATATTTCCAAAACAACATTTCGAACTCATCAAGGCCACCGTAGTTTAGGGAAATGCCCTTTGATCTAACCAATACCCTAACAACCTTTCAGGCTCTCATAAATCACATCTTCAGAAAATTTCTCAGGGAATTCGTTCTTGTCTTCTTTACTAACATACTCATCTACAGCCGTAACATACAAGAACATCTGTTTTTAACTTAAAAAAATACTGCAATTGCTACGACAATACAAGTTATATGGAAAAAAGTATAAATGTTGTTTTTTATAGTCTCAAGTAAAGTATCTGGGATACATTATTTTAGGACGCAGAGTGCAAATAGACCCCAAGAAAATTGAGGTTATGGTCAACTGGCTGCCCCCACAAACTCTCAAGGCTCTCAGGAATTTTTGGGCCTAATGGGCCATTGTCTAAAATTCATCAAGTACTACGAAGTGATGGCCAAATCCCTTACATACCTGTTAAAGAAAGGAGTATTCCAGGGGAACTCAGAAGCTGAACTAGCCTTCCAGCAATTAAAAAAAAAACAATGACTTCTAACTTGGCATTGCGGCTTCCGAAGTTTGGGGACCCATTTGCCATTGAAACTGATGCTAGCAATAAGGGAATTTGGGCAATTTTAATATAGGAAGGACAACCAATAGCCTTTATCAGCAAAGCACTTAGCCCCATAAACTAATCCAAGTCCTTATATGGAAAAGAACTCATGTCCGTCTTGTATGCAGTCAGCCAATGATGCCATTACTTGGAACGAGTTCCTTTCATCCTTTGGACAGATTAGCAGTCTCAAGTACTTACTGAATCAAAGAGCATCTTCAATGGTCCAACAGAAACGCATTTTGAAATTACTGGGGTTGAATTTACCTCATACCAAACAAGCAAGGGACACGAGTACAGTTGTAGATGCCTTATCCAGAGGAACATAAGGATAATTCAGAAAAAGTCCTTTAAACGGTTACCGTTACCGTTACCATTCCTGCTTGGGTATGTGAGGTATCCAAATTATAAAGGTGATCCGGACATACAACACCTTATCATAGAACTTGTAATTTCTCCACAAGGCAAACCACCTTTCCACCTCTCTAATGGATTTCTGAGATATGAAAGGAAGGTTAGTCATTGGCAACAGCAAAAGTCTACAGCATCAGCTACTACAATAATCTCATAACTTTGTCATTGGGGGTCACTTAGGGATCAAAGACACCTATGAACAAGTCAAACAACACTTCTATTGCGCCAACATGAAAAGACAAGTTACTCAATCGGTGCAACAATATGAAACTTGCCAGCATTGTAAAAATGAAAATGTGACCCTCCCAAGACTGTTATATCGATAGATTCCATCGAACAACTGCCCAAGTTGGAGAACAAAGATACAATTCTGATGATAGTAGACCGGTTCACAAAGTATGGTCACTTTATTCCCCTAGACATTATTTCTTGGCCCACGGGATAGCCCAACTCTTTTGGAGATTGCTCACAAGTTGCATGAAGTGGCACAGGTCATAGTATCATACCAGGACCCCTTGTTCACAATTCTCTTTTGGAAGGAATTGATGAAAGCTGTTGGAACCAGCCTTCATTTCAGCATTGCATATCATTCTCAAACAGATGGTCAAACTGAACTTTTTAATCAATGCCTGGAGATGTATTTGAAATGCACGACTTATGATCAACCAAAAACATGGGCAAAATGGTTATCTACTGCTGAATGGTGGTATAACATAATCTACCACGCGAGCCTCAAAATGACCCTCTTCCAAGCTCTCTACAGGTGCGCACCTCCTCATTGTTGGATATTACTGACGTTTCTCGAGTCTTGCTATCGGTGGAAGAGTTATTAGCAGAATGGGAAGATACCAAGAAAAGGATTAAGCAACAACTTCTGAAAGCTCAAGACTGAACAAAGCAATATGCAGATAAGAATCGTTTGAAAGAAGTTTTAAAGAACAAGACTTGGTGTGACTCAAGCTATAATCATACAAACAAGACACTGTAAAATAAGCAAAAGGATCCAAGCTGTCACCACTTTCTACAGACCGTTTCAGATAATACAGAAAATTGGATCAGTAGCTTACAAACTTCAGCTACCCCCAGACTCTAGAATCCACCCAGTGTTCCACGTATCACAACTCAAGAAGTACACTGAAGAAAGAAATAGGGTAATAAATAATCTATCAGTCCATACAAAAGAAGATGAACTCAGTGATCAACTGAAACAAGTGCTACAATACTGAGTCATAATGTGAGGATCTTTGTCTATGAAACAAGTGCTAGTATGATAGAAATACACTACAACTGAAGAATGCACTTAAGAAGATTATGAATACCTACAACAACAGTTTTCACATCACAACCTCGAGTACAAGGTTGACGCTCAATGGGTGAGTATTGTTAAGAAACCCCTATTGGTCTACTATAGAAATAAGGGCAGGAGAAGATTATGAATACCTACAACAACAGTTTTCACATCACAACCTTGAGTACAAGGTTGATGCTCAATGGGTGAGTATTGTTAAGAAACCCTTATTGGTCTACTATAGAAATAAGGGCAGGAAAGTAATTTCACCCACAGAGGGAAAACAGTAACTTCGCCCGAACGGATTAGGGTTGATGCAACCCTAACCGTTACAGCAGATCCCACAGCCGCAATTGCAACCAAAAAGGTTTAGCAAAGTATGCCACCATAGCCATTCGTCTTTTAACACTCATAAGTCTATAAATAGGCCCAATTTCTACAAATGTAAAGCATCAAATAAGAAAATTACCTCAAAATCTCTCTCTTTTTCTCTATTGTTTCTCTTTTCTTTTTCTCCTTCTTTTCTCAAATCCAAAGTATGATAAAGCTTCTAACAGTTAGTGGCAAGAACTAGACCAGTATTGCTACCTCAATATAAATTGCAGCAAAGATGAGCAAAGCCTAAAGAAATTTATGGAGAATGATAGAGCATATCAATTCCTATCTCGTCTTAATGCAGAATTCGATCAAGTGCAAGTTTAATATTAGGGAAATAGGAAATGTCATCTTTGAACAAAGTGATTTCTGTCGTTGTTGCATAAGAGAGCAAGAGATGGATTATGCTAGAACCTCGCTTAATTGAAAGCTCAACTATGATAACCAATAGCTCCAAACCCTGCCAACAGGCAAAGGAGTAAGTCAACTTGCCACATCTGTAACAGGTGAAAAGAATTGAGACAATTTGTAGTGTACCTTCTGTAAGAAACAAAGGCATACCAAGGAGAAACAATGAGAACTCCATAGGAAGCACACCATCTCTAGCAAAGATTGGGGTTATAAAATACATCATAGAGGCCCCAAGGACAAGTATATGTGGACAACTAATAAGGGAAGGAGAAGGCTTCTAGTCCCAAATGAATTAAAAGCATGATTGGAATGACTAAGGACTCAACTTGATGTTTTCGAGAAACCCACAAGTAAAGGTTTATTGGCATACTCAAGTACATTTTCTACCTCACATGAAGAAAATGCCACAAATAAGCCCTTTGCACTGTTCTAACTTATACAGTCAAGAGCCATAGATTACATGACCAACTCCTCTAAGCACTTTAGCACCAATGTCCTGTGTTCCAGTAATAAGAAAATATTTACTATTGATGGTTCACTAACCACCATGGTAGGAGTTGAAAGTATAATTATTAGCCCCCATTTTACACTTACAAATATGTTTCATGTTCGCAAACTATGCACAAATCTTATTTCACTGACTAGACTATCACATGACCTAAATTGTAAAGTGATTTTTTCTTCATCTCATTATAAATTTCAAGACCAAACCCAGGGATGATTGGATATGCTGAGACACAAAACAGGTAGCACTTCTTAAATGCACCTGAGATACCACCCTCTGCCCCCACCATTAGTACCTTAGACGAGATATGGTTACACCACAAACAATTAAACACCTTCCTTTTCTATCCTTAATATTATGTTTTCCTCCTCACTTAAAGATTTCAACCATGGAAATTCATACCGTAATGTATGTTAACTGACAACATATAAACATGTAATTTTTCCTCCAAGTAATAAAAGAAGCATTTTTTCTTTTACATTGATTCATAGTAATATCTGGGATCCTTCAAATAGTTACAACGTTTCTGCAGCTAGATGGTTTGTTTTGTTTATATATGATTGTACTCAAGTGACCTGGTTCTTCTTGCTAAAACCCAAACCTGAAATAAGTTATGTCCTTCCTAAATTTCACAATATAATCAAAACTTATAGCCATTTTCCCTTGTTGTGGGTGGTGCAGTTGAAGCATAATACCACCAGAATTTTCAAGTATCATTATATGCCTCCTCAATTTCTTTGGGAATATTGACGTTTTTGGCTTTGGTATGGGCCAAGGCAAGTAATTTCTTCAGCCACATATCTTTATCTATTCTACAGAGTAGTTTCATTTTTTTTTTTTACTCGCTTTAACAAAGGTCATTTCAGGAAGTCTCATCCTCATCTTTATACATCTTCTTTATCCCATTTTACACTTCTTTTCTTATATTAAAAAAATTTAAAGTACAACACATTACCGTTTTTTAAACATGAAACTGGATTTTTTTAAATTACTGAATCTAATACGCATATAAGGCAAATTTCGGAAACATTTGAAGAAAAATTCATATGCACATTATCAAAGCCAACATTGAAGACGATAGTCCTTACAAAATTCCTGGTTAAAGCAACGGTCTTGCAAGAACATAAACAGTGAAGACATGCGCGTTTTAATTGAGCTAAGATTGGGTATTAAAAGCAATGGAAGGATTACCCGCAGAGGCTTCCGACGAGCTTCTCCTCTCGATGGCTAACGCAATCGGACCCATAAAAGTCCGAAGAGAGAAAACGACTTGCTGTAACTACAAATTATACGTTGAATAAGGAATTACTATAAAAAGTAGAAATCCCGAAACCCAGAAACAAAAACCAAGCATTTAACACATTTCAACAGAATTTCACTGGACATAACTAGATAAAGCGAGTCATGGAACCAGCACCGATACTAAAAAGAAGTATTTAAAAGAAACAAGCAAAAACCAACCAGAAAACATCACATTCTTCATGCAAAAATATAAATTATACATATTTGTATATGCATGCAATATATGTGTATTATCTATCCGGATGAAGAGTAGATAGAGAGCACCAGAGTAGCACCAGGCTAGCAGCTCACAAGGCCTGCAAGGGAGGTAAGACCGTAAGTAAAACGGTATGGGTAAAGTCCCGGTTCTGGAATAAACTATACTAAGAAGGAAATATTACAGGCCTTCTTATGTTGTATAAAAATAATTGTTTTGTTTTTATTTTCAATATTTATATATATATATTGATTAAAAATTACACAAATAAATAAATTTATTAGATTAAAAATTATAATATATATTTTTAATATTTTTTACAAAATTGTTTTATTTATTTTTCATTATGCCAAAATATGTAATTATAAACACACAAATTTACAAAATAAAAATAAAAATGTTTTCATATGTAAAAAGAAAATATAGTTTTTTACCAAAGTTTCATAAAAATAAATAAAACTTTTATTTTTAAAATTTAAAGAAACCATCCAATTTTCTGCTGCTAGAAAAAAAGAACAGTTTTTCTCTAACTTTTGGATTTACATATTATTATATGTAAATTATCTAACTCACATAGTGTAATACCCCAAAACTATTTTTTTATTTTTGTATTGGAATTTTTTTTGGATTTGATTTTATTTTAATAATTAATTTATTTTGTAATAATTATATGTTTAATTTAATTTAATTTAATAAAAATAAAAATAATAATAATGATAAAATTGGGTAAAATTATTTTTGGGAATTAATTGAAGATGATTTTGAGAAAAATGGATGAAAATTTGGATTCTGGAAGTGTTTTTGAAAAGAAAATCGAAAAATAACGGTTAAAATGCAATTTAAAAAAGATACGCCACGTCAGTAGCCCGGTCAGCAGTCCCAGCCAACCAGGACACGCCGCGTGGCAGGAACGCTGACGCGCGCACGGATGGCCTAGATCAAAAGCGCGCACAGACGGCCCAGATCTTACGCGCACGGACGGTGCAGATTGAATCACGTACGGACGGCCCAGATCGCATCGCGATGGACGGCCCAGATTTATTCTCATTTTAATCGCGATCAGACGTTTCAGATTAAATCGTGATGGACGGCTGAGATTAAAAGGAAAATGTTATAAATAACCTCACCCACACCCAACCCCAAACCCTAGCCGCCAGTACCCTCGCCGGAGAAGACGACCCAGTCACCGGAGGAGCCGGCCGCCGCCACCCGCCGCCGCACCGGAGGA